AACTGGGGCACCCTGATCCCTGTGGGTGATTTCACACCTGTAGTTTGGTGAATTTGGTCCGGACCAAGGAGATAAAATTATGCATTGTCGCATTTTAGTTCTGGTACCGGACCAGAACTAAAATGCGTTCAAGTTCACACTGACTTTTTACAAACCAACCAAGAGGAGTAAACTGACAGATAACTTGTTGATTGGACAATTTGGCCGATTGTCATCCTGTGTCATCAGCGCATCATCGGGACCCACAAGGGGAAATCAAATTGCGGTGACTTACAGAAGTTTATGCAGCACTTTAATGCTTCTGATGTATATATTTATGTTATTTGGTGTCACAAAGAGCTCATGAAGAAATAGCTGATATATATAAGTATTCTCAGTATTATTATACTGCAAATCGACTGCATGTTTTCCTCAGATTTACCAACCAAATGCCATTAAGTATCTACTTAAAGGTTACAGAGATTGGTAGTCTGTAGTACAGTGGTCACAAGAAGTTTGGATTGAACCTGTTGAAAGACAGTGTTCCTTTATAAAATGAAATGCATGTGATAGAATCTCCTCATCTTTCAGAATTTTACTCATGTCATTTTACTTTCTAATTGAAAGGGTCTCTTTGCTGAGTAGGTACTGTAGATGGCCTTCATAAATTCACAAAATAGCTCTAATTAATTATGTCCACTGCTGCCTAAATAATTTTTATCCTAATTTGGACATTGTCACTTAGGGGTGTACTCACTTTTGTTGCCAGCAGTTTGGACTTTAATGGCTGTGTGATGTGTTATTTTGAGGGGACAGCAAATTTAGTTATTAGTTATACAAGCTGTACACTCACTACTTTACAATGTAGCAATGTGTCATTTCTTCAGTGTTGCACATGAAAAGATATGATCAAATGTTTACAGAAATGTGAGGGGTGTACTCACTTTTGTGAGATACTGTATATGAGGAAGGAAAGAGTTGCAGGAAACAAGAAATTATGAGACAAACTGTGTTTGCTGAAACTTGTTTGGTAATTTGCTGTGCAGTTTTACCAGCAACAGATAATGGAATGATGTCTTGAGAATTAAGAGCTGAGGCAACCTCTGCAATAGTTACAAATCACACAAGGTCTCTATGTAACTATGTTATTTTGCTGAACCCCCACTGCACTGTACCAACTAACTAACAGACTTAATAAAACATGTCCTTTTCTAGGAATAATGCAGCATGCTGTGGTGAATCAATAACGAGCTGCTTTACCCCTTTTAAATTTCACTAAAATGAAAACTGTGCTGTAACAGTAATGGTTTTCGAAAGTTTTTGAAATCGTGACCTTTAATGTACCACCCCGTCAGGACAATCAATGTGATTTTTAACTGACAGAGTGCAAACGTGCTGTGTTCTTGCACAGACATTGCCTCAAAAACATACAGACCATGTAATGAGCAGTATTCCCGCTGTGAATGTGTGAAACTGGTAGATTTTGAACAGCTGAAAAAAATGCGTTTCGTCATTCACCTCAAACTAAGGTTCCTCCGGCTTAATACTGTCTGTGGTCTTTTGCTGCCACACAACTCAGCACGAGCACTGTGTTGTCATGGGGTGAAATACACGCCTGAGGGTTCACATTTTACGGCACCAAATGAAAAAACACTCCCAGTGCGTCTCCTCTGTCACTAATTTTGTACTTTTTGTTGAGTTGCTCAAGGCATGTCTGACTTCTGCTGCGTAATTGATGCATGGATAGAACCAAAGCGCTGAATTTTGGGAGCCTTTTTTTGTGGCATTTCATAGCCGAGGCGGCCATTTCAGAAAACAACAGAGCCAGATATTAGAAAATACGGTGCTGGGGTTGAAAGCCCTTTGAGAGCCATTGGACAAATTTGATGGGAGCAGTGCACGGGAACACAATCTTGCCAGTGTTTTTCCTTACTTATCAACAAGATTAAGACTTCACAGTGTAATTCATCAGCTGTATACCACGGTTCTACACACAGGCCTTGGAGCGACAGATGAAGAATGATGTGGCACCACTCTGTGCTTGGGAATGATTGAAAATGTGTGCAGACTTCAATAATTGTCACTGGCATGTGAAACTAATGGAGCTTCTCAAATGCCTCACGAATAAATCATTAATAGTGCTAATAGAGTTACGCTGACACAATAATAACTGAGAATCAGAAGGAAGGAATAATGTGTTCTTGTTTTGTATTTACGTTCAAGTGAGGTGTGTGGTTAATATGCACACCTAGCAACTTAGCTTTGTCGTGCGCCCACATTACAACTGATCCAGAGTCAAAAAACGTGGGCTGTGTTGGGGAAACTATAACTAGTGAAGCCACAAACTACATTTTTATTGAAAGTAGCAAGCTACACTACAAGCTGTACTCAGAAAACAGCGTCACTACTGGACATGAGTGGGCCAAACAAATGTGCTGTGGGCAGTGTGAACTGAAGCATAAACACATCTGCAAGAGTTGAAAATGTTTCACCATGACAGAAAAAGTTGTGGTTAACCCAGAGAAAAGACAAAAAAGGAGCCAATCTCTCTCTCTCACACACACACACACACACACACACACACACACACACACAGTCTATACTTTACTAGATAGCTATAGTGGATATCTGGACAGCTGATGCACTGGGTGTTTGGGGTGGACCGCAAAAACAATACGGCAGTCAAATTTACATTGAAAATTCACTTCTGTATGGTCATGTGTTTAAGTCATTCTAGACAAAATGGCAGTACAAAAACATGTCTTAGTAATATGTAGATGGTTAAGTGCCACTGAATCAGTCGAAAAGTGTGGCGACATCTAACAGCTGTGACTTTAAAATACAGTAATACTGGACTGCAATAAAATAAAAAGGTTCAGAAGAAATGTGGATTATATTATCAAGTCAAATGAAGAACAAATCAGTGATACTGATAAACGGACAAAGATCAATTGTGTGAAAGTATTTTGTCTGGATGCATGATTAGGTAATACTTAACGGTGTTTGATTTTCAGAAAAGTTAATTTGTCATGCAACCCTGCATGTTCTTGTATCATGGAATCATTTTCTCAATTCACAATCGGACGCTTGTTTTATTGATTGACATGCACGGCTTCTGGAGCGTATGTGGTTGCTGATAATTGGACAGCAGGCTACGTCGCAGTTTGTGCTAATATTTTCCAATACCTCCCAGGACTTAACATGCATCATCATTTCATCTGAGCTGTTGCTAAAAAGCTATCACTCAAATACCTGCCTGTTGCTAATGAAGAGATATGAGGCTCCTATTCAGATATTTAATGCTGCATGAGGAAACCACCACAACACGGCTCCTGCCTCGCACTCCCTCCCTTGCACATTAAACACATGGAATAACACAGTTTCCTTCATCAATTCCAACAGATGCAATGGGATGTTGGGTCACTCCAGGAACAAGGTAAGGCTTGTCCTGTGAGGCTGTCACTGATTGGACACCTCAGGTGACACGGCTGATGATGGACAGCACAGCATGCTTTGTTGAACAGCCTCGTTCTTGTAGAACACTTGACCACAACTCAACCACATCTTGGTTTTCAATTGGCCGTTAGTTTGTCCTTAGTTTCACCAGGTGGAAACTACTTTCTCTCCGGTTCTGGCACCGGAATGAGCGCCAGAACCGGAGCAAGGTGATTTACAGCAGCTCTGACCATGATTGTGATTCTGGGCACGACTAAAACACAGCGGGTTCAGGTGGGGACAGGAGAGGAGTGAAATGAGAGAAGAGCGAGTTTGTAGCAAGTTAATTTGTAAGTAACAATTTACATTATCCCTCGTTTTGATAGGTCTGTGAGTATATGTTCTAGTGAAGCTGGAAGTTATTTATTCCTGTGAGACTTTTGTTCAGTCTTCGTGCTGTTTGTCCCGACATATTCAGAATCATTATCGCTTATCGTTAACAGCCAGCTTTCTACGAGCCCCTTGTTATATATATTTTAAAGGCTCATTATTATGGTTTTATATTTCTTATGTAATGTAGCACAGTATCAATAAGGTTGCTTATAACGCTCTTTCTCTGCCCTGGCCCTGAAACCATTTTCTAATGCCCTAAAAATATATATTTTACGACTAGCAGTTGACTAGGCAACTCTTTTTTCGGGGGCAGGCCTTCTTAAAGTACACTTTTACATCACTGCATCAAAGTAAGAAATTAAAACACTGGAGGTCAACAAAAACAAGGGGCTGTTACTGTAAATTACGCTTAAAGTTTGAACACTTTGGGTTCATAACTAGTTTTCATATTGCATTATGTCTTGTTTCATATAAATCTAAGGTAGGTCAAGCACATGTTTGTGGTAGTATCATTATTATATTTGCCCGACTCTATCATAAATTTCTTATTTACTTAACCTATGTATTTTAACTTATGTGAAGTGCCTTTGAGTACCATGAAAAGCGCTCTATAAATAAAATGTATTATTATTATTATTATCAGCAACAACATTAAAATTGACGGTTAAAAAAATAAGCCCTCTAGCGATAACATGCAGTGATGTTAAAGCTTTAGATGTGGTCTACAGCGTCCTTTTTGATCCAATCAGTAGGAAAAACAAATGTTCAGATCCTATACATAATGGCTTTAAGGATCTAATTATTAAAACACATGGTACATCGTTTGCATTGCCAATTAGCAGTGGTGGTATTTCCTGTGTCAAGTGTTCTCTATAACCTCAGCTGACCATTAGACAAATGTCAACAGGTTAAGCTGAATGGATCCTAGCCTAAGCTTTAACACGAAAACGACTAGAGGCAGTGAAAGGTCAGGAGGCTTAGGGTTACACATTGTACAAGGAGGAGGGTGTTCAACACTTTTCGGCACGATGACACAGACGGGCTGCAGGCTGAGCCTGGCCCAGATCACAGTCCATCGGCATTGGGGATTAGCCCTGGAATGGAATGACGGGGTGACAATCGGTTGATTGGCTGATGAACCTGTTGCCGGACGGATTCCAGGCATTTGGATAGCCCTGATCGGTGGCTCTTACCACGACGGATATCCGGACTCGTTTGGCCGGCCTCCTGAGCTCAGGAGTAATGGTTCTCTCCAAGTTGTTGTTTTTCTTCCAGGCGACCAGAGACAAACACAACATTAACAACAACCTCAACGTCAGTTTGACTTTGCAAAAAGAACTTCCTTGCAATGCCACTTTGATGTGACCAAACTTCACTGCAATGATGGAGAGGAGGAGTGGAGAGACTTTTCTTAAAACCTTGCAGGATGCAAGGCTGAAACAAAGTGAAAAAGGTTTTATATTGAGGATGACTGAAAAACTGTGTATGTGTGTTCTGTTTATGTGTTTGTCTGTTTGTGTGGGAGGTACTGTACTGTGGAGCGTGAAAGACTGTATGTGAGAGATAGCATAGGACTGTGTGGGTGTACAGAATGTGTGAACGGCAGGATGTGAGCCACTTTGTGTGTGTGTGTGTGTGTGTGTGTGTGTGTGTGTGTGTGATGGTGGTGTTGTTGCTGAGTGTATTTGAGGACATGGTTCTCTCACCTCCAGGGCTTCTGTGTCTGGACTGGCGCAGAACAGGTTCTTTAAAGCAATGCCTGAATTATCATTTGGGCCTGAAAGAGAAACAAAGAGAGATTTAAAAACGAAAAACAGGTTTATAACTGGAAAATCAAACCAAAATCAATGAGCGTGTGCGGGTAGAAAACATGAAAAGTTGTTTTTCATCACAAAATGAATGGGTGGACAATGTTATTCTGTTTTTTTAACCTGAGCGGCTGGTTAATATTTTGGGATACACACATTTATCACTACCTACACAGCTAACTTTGTGTATAGACTCAATCGGCTTTATCATTGCTTCTAGCTGCGGTTTCTCACTGGAATTGCCTTAATCATGTTGCAAAGATGCTGAAATGATTTTTCCAATTTACATTTTAAATCAAAAAACCTCAGATCCAACTATTACAAAGCCAAATGCTGCTAAGAGGAGAAGTCTCCTCCACCAGCTGATCACCAGGCTCAGCTCCTCTAACAGCCCTTTTTCACTGCAGGAACTTCACATAACATGTTGACATTGTCACAGGTTCTGTTTTTGGTTCCGTTTGTTCTGCTTAGGGGACGAGTTCCTGGAGCTAATTTTTGGCACTGCTCATATCACGGCAAGGGCGACCACAATAAACACAACAGTAGCTACCACGTTACTACTGCATCTGTATGTATGTATGAATTAAAAACCAAAACAATCAAGAACACTTAATAGAAGATCACAGCGTGAATAGTGGAGCAAAAGTGGTCTGACACATTGAGACTGGTGGACAAACAAAATCCAGAGATCACAGGCTGTCTGTTCTGCCAACTAGCAGTCATTGTCCATTGGGATTCACTCTCATTGATTGTTTTACCTCTTTACCTTTACCTCTAGCACCACCAGCGTCACATTTTGCTTTTTAGTGAAAGATCTCAACAACTTTTGGATACTATGAAATTTCGTCCAGACCTTCATTCACCTTCTTTCGTCTATCACCATCATCAAATTGTCAAATTTTTTATTTGTCCAATATTTTAGTTTATGACTAAATACCTGCAATATTAATGACATTCCCATCAGCCTCAGCTGTATTTGTGTTCAGTGCATCTAAATGCAAAATATGTGCATTTCCATCAGCTGGTTTGGAGCGAATAAACCATGCTACAGCAAGCGTAGTTGCGTTAGGAGTTGATGTTACACATGGCTGTAATAAACAAGATGTGTGGGTTCCAAACCAGAAACAAAACCAGCCGCATGGAACTGATGGCCAGTGATCTTAGAAAAATGGAGAGAGGTCTTCAGGAATGTGTTTCAAGAGGGCAAACTGCTAACAGCCATGTCTCCATGCGTTATGGGAATATCCGGCAAGACGCTGACAGAAGAAACAGCTGATCAGACGTCAGAACTTATTTGGCAAAAGTGTTTCCATCTCCAATTTAGCACATTAACTATTTATTGAAAAAGGCAAAAACCACCTCAAGTGAGGGTAAAAACGCACTGTGAAATTTTGCCGTTTCCATCAACCTTTTCTAATGCGATACTTCAAAATGTGCATAAACGTTGATGGAAACATGGCTAATGTCATTTGTGAGCTCAAAGCACGTATGTTTAAGTACAGCCTCAGAGCTGGTACCATGGCTGTATAAGACTCTTGTTTGTTGAAAGTAAGTAAGTAGTAAGTAAAGTTTATTTGTATTGCACCTTTCACAGATAAAAATCACAAAGTGCATCACAATAAAATCTAATACAATACAACAAAGTAAAATACAATGCAAAAGAAAATTTAAAAACGATCCCCTCTGGTTTTAAAATGAGATTGGGGAACCACTAACAACCTCTGACCTGATGACCTCAGACTACGGGTCGGAGCATGAAGCTGTATCAACTCAGAGATGTAGGGAGGAACTTGACCGTGCAGGACTCTGAAAGTAAGGACCAGGATTTTAAACTGAATTCCCTACTGGACTGATAACCATTGAAGTGATGCTAAAACAGGTGTGATGTGCGCTCTTTTGTTAATGTGAGTTAAAAGCCTTGCAGCAGAGTTCTGAACAGCCTGGAGACGGTAAAGCTCCTTCCTGCTCAAACAAGTAGAAAGACTGTTACAGTAATCTAAACGAGAGGAAATACAAGCATGAATGATCATCTCCAACTCACCCTTTGACACCAGTGTTCTTAATTTGGAAATATTCTTTAGTTGGAAGAAACAGTTTCTGACTAATTATTTAGAGTGGTATTCCAAGGACATTGCTGAGCTCCTGAGGCTCGGCTGGACAGACGAGCCCAAGTCACCAATTTGCTGCTTTATCTGAGGGATGCAACTTTCAATTAGTGTTCAGAAGCAAGAAGTTGTCACATAACCACTGTTTGATACTGGTCAAGCAGTTAATTAAAGAAGACAATTTATGGAACTCAGTTTCCTTAAACAAGCAGTACAGTTGAATATCACCCGCATTCAGATGGTAAGATATGTCACTGAATTGACTAATTATCTGTCCTAGAGGAAATATATACAAAAGGAACAGGAAGGGTCCCCAGACAGAACCCTGAGGTACCCCACACGACAACCCTGCAGTTTCAGACATGATCTGATTCACATAAACACTAAAATTCTACCAGAAAGGTAGGATGAAAACCATTTTAAAACTGATCCAGACATCCCAACCAGATCATGGAGTCTATCATAATATTATGATCAACAGTATCAAAAGCAGATGAAAGGTCCAAGTGGACCAAAACTGTGTATTCCTTAGAGTCAGCTGACATCAGAATGTCACATGTAATGCAGTTTCCGTGGAATTTGTCAAACGGCTTGTGATTCTCCAAGAAAAGGGTCAGTTTCTCTGCTACAGCTTTTTCTAGAATTTTTGACATGAATGGAAGTTTGGATATTGGCCTGTAGCTCCTGGGTTGTAATGGATCCAAACTGGGCTTTTTAAGTACAGGCTTAACGACAGCATGTTTAAAAAAAATAGGAATGACACCAGTTAAAAGTGAAGTATCTCCACAATACAGGGGCCAATAGAATCAAACAAACAAATAGCGCAGTCGGGAGAACATCCATAGGACAAATGAGGGTTTCAATGTTTGTAGCAGAGAGGTCATGTCATGTAGTTTCACAGGTTTAAAAGAGGACCAAGAATGAGCGGGAGACAGGTCACGTGCAGAGTTCTGAGAAAGTGATGGTGAAATGTTTACCCTGACATATCTGATCTTATTTACAAAGAAGTGAAGGAATTCATTTAGAAGACACAGTTGTTTGAGGGGCAGAAGGAGACACTACTGCATTAATGGTGTCAAACAAGTCTTGTTTTTACATACATATTTATGTTGTAAACCTTTGTATAACCTGCTTTTGTGATGCTGTAATTAATTATGCATTATTGGTTATTACTACATTTCACAAAATGGCACAAATTTGAATTTGAGAGCTTGATAGGCGTGTACTGTGTTGAGAAAAAATAATGTTGGACAAACAGATATTGCTTGGTCTTGTTTCAATTAAGACAGACGGAGTCAGTGAGTGTTAAAATAGTTATTTTATTATCCAAGTGAGACAAAGAGAGAGAGCAACTAAGAGGTGATGTTAGCATTATGCGAGTTTAGAGACAGAGAGGCCATTACAGACACCCATTGCAGATCTATTAAATCTTCTTATCCTTTTTTTTTTTTAATTGCCTCATATGTCAATTGCTTGGAAACTCTCCTGTGTGTGTGTGTGTGTGTGTAAATGCATGTTTCTTACTGGCAGGGATCTCAGTGTGTCGCTCCACCATAGAGGTTCTCTTCAGTGCAGGTTTGAGGGGCTTCTGAGGAACTGCACGGACAGGACTGAAGGTTGACTCCTCAGTGGAGATCTGCGCACACACACACACACACACACACACACCACACACACCCCAACAAACCCCCACACACAGAGATAGATAAGAAACAGCACTCAAAACTCCCAAACCCCAATCCTGTTCAAGAGATCAACTCCTTTTTCTCTTCCTGTGGACTCATTATACAAATTGATGTACTTCTTCCTCTTCTTCTTCTTCTGTGATGACATGGAGGCAAATCAAAAGGAAGAAACAGTAGAAAAGAGGAAAAACCCAAAAAGAAAAGAAACCAGCGGGAGTTGAGAGCTCAAAGGGCCTTGATGTAAAATTCCATGACTTCAGTGACTTTCCATGCTGGCATTTTCATGACCTAAAAACTATTTTTTGCTGGGTTTTGTTAATGTTTTTCTGAAGGGTGGGAACATTCTGGTTTGAACCATAAAATGTTCCACAGAACAAAATGTTTGTTCGAAACTAGTTAGAAATAAATTCTGTGATTCTGTGAAGTTGCCCATTTGTAAAGGCATCACTACTCCTGATACACTGGGCTGATAGTGTCTTTTAATTTAATATTGGACATCAGGTAGCTGGAATTTCCTGTTTAATGCTATGTCAGAGGATTCTCCACCATTATAAAAACAAAAAAGCTACCATCATGAATAGTAATTAGCTGTCAGGAAGTTTTATTCCAAAGATATACATCAGCATTTAAAAAGCCTTAATCAAACCATGTGGAATACATATCACAATTTAACAATATCGTAAGGCTTAGGTGTCCATGGGAAACCACTTAGAAGCATTGATGAAAGCGGCTCAGGAAGGAATGGAGAAAGTGGGAAAGAAGAGTGGAAAACGATATTAAGTCAGAGGAATGAAGAAAAAAGTAAGAGGAGGTAAATGCATGTCTCACACACACACACACACACAGTCACTCCTTCCTCCTTCCTCTACACCCCCGCATCCATGCCTGAAGGCGTTCTACTCAGCCACTCACTGCAAACTGATGAAAGAAAAATGAAGACAGAAAGAAAGAGATACATCGACATTTTGAGCATTACAGTGCAGGACCTAGAACCAATTTAGACATCTACCTTCCGACATGGCTGCCTTTTTCCATTTCCTACCTTTGTCTCACACATACACACACAAAACTTACACAATCACCTTACTACTATCTAAGCTATCCATCTGTCACACACACAAACACACAGTATGTCTCTGAATGGATTTCACCATCTTTCTTTGTTTTTCTAAATTTGTCAGATAAATGAAACTGAAACAGACCCTGTAATATTTGTCTTGCAAGACACATTATTCTCTAACATCTCTTGTTTTCCTAAAAGTACTTTCTCAATGTTCAATGTCAAAACGTAAAAGTCCAAGTAAACTAATATTGGATATGGTTGATGATGAAAAGGGAGGATCTCAGGTGGGTTTTATTTTATCTCCATGCTACGCATGAAAAAGCACTCTTATAAAGCATTAAGTTATTTTTAGTGAGGCTAGTGGCGTGCCTTTATGAACTCGCTAGATGGTGAAAAGGTGCCTGCTTAACATCACCATGTTAGCATGCTAGACATTAACATTAAGCTCAAAGCACTGCTGTGGCAAAGTACAGCCTCCTAGAGCAGCTGGCATGGCTGCAGACTCATCACATTGCATCCACATTTACTTTAGAGATGTTGAGCATCTAAATGATGCTTTTTATTCTGTTTCACTTTATGCTCCTTTCCTTGTTTTTTTTTTGAGTCACGGTGACCTTACTGCTCATGCTAACCCTGCAGGTAAAACAAATCTTAAAACTCATTTTTGAACATTTACAGTATTTGATTATATTTTTTCATGTGACAACACTGAAGAAATGACACTTTGCTATAATGCAAAGTAGTGAGTGTACAGCTTGTATAACAGTGTAAATTTGCTGTCCCCTCAAAATAACACATCACACAGCCATGAAAGTCTAAATCGCTGGCAATAAAAGTGAGTACACCCCTAAGTGAAAATTTCCAAATTGGGCCCAATGTGTCAATTTGTGTGGCCACCATTATTTTTCAGCACGGCCTTAACCCTCTTGGGCAGCTCAGTTTCAGGGTTTTGGCAATCTTTTTATAGCCTAGGCCATATTTATATAGAGCAGCAATTCTTTTTTTCAGATCCTCAGAGAGTTCTTTGCCATGAGGTGCAATGTGGTTTAGACATTAATGGCCGTGTGATGTGTTATTTTGAGGGGACAGAAAATTTACACTGTTATACAAGCTGTACACTCACTACTTTACATCGTAGCAAAGTGTCATTTTGTCAGTGTTTTCATATGAAAATATATAAAAATAGATTTACAAAAATGTGAGGGATGTACTCACTTTATAAGATACTGTATTCCTTTGGGTTTGCAATTAAAATCTGGGGAAACTAGAAAGCACTGAATGGCTAAAAACAGGTAATGTCAAACTTTTCTGGGCACAAGCTGACCATCTAGCTGTCAGCTCAGTTGCCTGGTCACTTACAGAGTCAATGATTTCATTTTGCACTAAAAGCAGAAGTGTAAACAGATAACAAATGTTGCTTGTTGTCCCACCACATCTCCTCTCTCCACTTTCAGTGACCTCTGACCTGGAAGCGGACCTCCTGACTGACCCGCTGGCTGCTGTCCTCACTGACTGGGTTTGACACGACCGACATGCGTTTCTTCTCTGCGATGGATCGCTCCCTGATGTACTCTAGCCGTCTGGGGCGTCCGAGCTGCTGAGAGAGCAGTGACTGGAGCTGGGCACGCTCGATGGAGCCCAGCAGGATCATGGACTCTGGGAGAAGAGACAGAGAGAAGGGAGGTGACGTGAAGAACACAAGGGAGAAGGAAGATAGTGGAAGTGGATGAGAGGGGTATGTATAAAAAGAAGACAGGGGATGGGAGCAGACTGCAGGAGATTCCAAACATGTTGCAGCACTGCAGAGAGCTCAGCTGACTTACATAACAAGAATGCAGTGAGTGTGTATTAACTAGAGTGTTTGCGTGTGCGGGTGGGTGGCAGCTTGTTTGCTTTAAGTAATTGCCTTTGTGACAGTGTGTGCTGATTATGTATTTTGTTAAATGCCGCAGCTAATTGTTCCTGCACGATTGCATAATTGAGACAGTGTTAGAATACCAAATTTGCACTTAGTGAGGTGGCGAGCACAACGCCATCAGCAAGCTCTCCCCTGGCTAGTTTGTCAATCAATCAATCACTTTAATGAGCATGCCACCAAGGTCGGTGGAATTAGTTTTTGGTACAGTCTGGAAGGGACGTTCTGTCCAACAGCAACATCGAACACAGATATCAATATCAAACACAGTGATAAACACACCACACTGTATTCACACACATGGCATATTACTGTAAAAAATGTATTGTTATTTCATGTTGTTTTCACACTGTTTGCTGGGTACTTAACACTAGTTTTTACTTCTTTAAACAAGCAAGGTGATATGAGTCAGCACTGTTCCATATTCTCTACATCCTTTATATTTACATGCAATAATAATATTACATATAATAATATAATGACCAACAGTATAGTACAGTATATGCAGTACACACCATTCAACTAAGTTACAACATTTAAGTACAGATTACATATTAACACATCAATAATGAGCCAATGATAAAATAACACTCAAACGGGCCATTCTGCATAATGAATACTTTGCTTTTGTTACTTTTATTTAGCTTGTAATGGTTGTAAATAGTTTGGTAATTCATTTCAATACTAAGGGTGGGAATCATGAGAGGCCCCACAATACGATATTATCACGATATTTATGTTGCGATTCGATTTTATTGCGATTTTAAATATATTGAGATATATTGCAATTTATTACCATTTTCAAACTTCCAATTAGGTCCCTAAAGTCAAACTTTGTCAACATCTGTTTATCTAAAAAGATACATTTCTCTGTTTGGTCCTGTTAAATTTTCTAGTGGACTAAAAAAAGCAATAGATTTTATTATTCTAGTACCAAAAAGTTAAAAAATATCGATACTTGGCATCCGTGTATCGATACAGTATTGCCATGGCAAATATCTCGATACTATGCTGTATCGATTTCCCCCCCCCTCTATTGAATACTTCTTTCCCCCAAACTTGATGAAATACTTAATTAAGAAAAGAAAGTAAACATAATATATTCTTAATATTTAGAACCCATTTAATGATGAAATTATTTAAATCTAGACACGTCTACATGGATTTATTTCCTACATGCTGCTTTTGTTTATGTCTGTATGCACTCATTGGCCTTGACATCAGACCTGGCACACAGCAGTCAATATTTATATGCACAACTGCACAGATGATCAATACAGTGATGTGTGGTTCCTTGTAATTAAAGGTTAGTGATGAGTAAGCATTAGGCATTACTCTTGTTGGAAATGAGTGTGTATATATATATATATATATATATATATATACACACACACACACACACACACAGTGTATATATGATTTACTGTGAATGAAACTAATATAGTACAGTAGGGATAGTAGGGAAAAAGTAGGGAAAGTGTAGTGACTTATTTATACAATGTCTAATTTTAAACTTTTATAGTTGTTACAAATAAATAGTGATACTTCGCCCACTGCACAGTATGTGTGCGTGTGTTTGTGTCTCACCAGCTGATTCCACCAGTGCCAGAGTCTTCAGGTGGCCCGTCAGCAGGACGTTATGCAGGTCTCTGTAGCAGCAGTTGAGTGTGATGTACCGCACATCCCGCACCATGATGTCTTCTACGCGAATATTATATTTTCTGGGAAGAATCCAGGGAAAGGAGGAAGATAATTGTGAGAACGAGAAAGATGGCATGAATTTATTGAGTGGTTAAGCGGGATAAGGAATAGAGGTTGAGAAAAAAGGTGAGAAGAAGAAGATTCAGCCATTAGACAATCAAATAACATTTCCCTGAATAGTCAGAACATATACACGGCTGACCTTTGAAAATTTAAATTGACTATAATGCTTTGGTGATATTTTTTTTTTTGCATTATCATGCCACTAGTCAGTGTCAACTATAACTTCAGCTCGGTCAGTACAGATTTGATTAAAATATTAATATCTGCAAGGATCTATAACCACTATCCTTCATAGCCGAGGATGACAGCACATCCTTCTTTCAGCTTACCGGTCAATCCAATAACACATTACTCTGTCGACACGTCAACGCGGATGTTAGCGGTGGTGACGGCATGGCCATGTATACAGTAAGGGAAAGAAGTGGGTGACATTGTGTGAGCAGATCTTGCCTCAGCAGAATTGTATGCCCCGGTACACCAGTCATAAACACTCAGCTTTCTCTTCCTGCCTGAGCTTGCCAAAGCCTGCAAACACGACAGCAGCCGCTCAATGGTTTCTGCTGCCAAGCCCCGTAGTTGTGCCAGTACACAGGTTCCGGCCATGCCTCCGCTCCTTGTTGTTGTGACAACTCAATACACTGACCTCTCTTGAAATGCAAAGTTAATTTGAGGACCATCCTCCACCATTTCCACTTCAATACAACAGAGCTGGTCTAGGATCCCTATTACGACAAAGGACTGTGTACAGCACTGGAAAATGGCACCAAAAGAATTCTGTACTACAATTAAGGCTTATGAAAAGAAAACCAAATTATAAAAAAGTGGTATCCTAACTCCACTGCAATAACATTAAACAACATCTAGCAAATGTTTATAAAAGTCTCCCACATAATAATAGAACTCGCTACACACCTCTCCATGTACATGCTTGAATCAACCAGTTCATATTTTCAGACCACGGCTGAAGACACAAGTGTTTATAGCTGCTCTGAATGGCTACACTCCAAGCCGGGTCGAATGAGATGTGATAATTGTGGGGATAAGGGCGCACACTTCAAAACCATTCATGATGTCGTCGTGTGTACATATGAAAAGTGAATGAGCTTGAATAAGAAGTTCATTCTCACCACTCCATTTGGCCAATCGCTACATGGAATGGGCAATAAAGCCCCCTGTTTTCTACTTCACAAAGTTGGGAGGGGAAGGGGCTTGACATGCTGTTCAACAATCTGACAAGCACTTTGTTTAAACAAGATGAACCCCTTTACTTTCTGGCATATTACAGAAAGGGCACGCTACTTTCTGCGCTAGCAGTGGACTTAAGTTTAGATCTGCAGCAGTGTCCAGTATGAATATTATATGTAGGGATGCTGGGCTGGGTAGCCATGCCCAGTGCCACCCCAAGAAGAAGTTTGGTTTGTGGTGTTCATAGCAGTGAAAAATGACATCACAGTCGACAGCTTTAATGTTTTGATTGGAACTACTTTTGACATTAGAAATATGTATATGTATGTAATGTAAAGTCTTAACAGGGTAACAGGGACACCGTTCCTCAAAAGCGATGTTGCTGTTGTGAGTACCGCAAATGAAATTCCTTTTACAGTACCTTGATTGTAATGGGATTGTAAAAAATCTCAGAGGATATGGCAAAAGCTATCTACACTGTTTTCTTCCCTTTCTACCTTTTTTAATGCTGCTCTTTGTCATTCTTAGTCATGCTGTCGCTCCCCAGTTCTTTTTCTGTTTTATCTAAATAAATCCTCAGTGGTAAATATATTACTTCCTGGGCATCAGGAGATATTTTCCTCCATGACAGATTTACCAGGCACCTATTGTTTTCAACAGCAAATCAATCAACATTTAATAAACTGGATAAAGGTTCAATCACTATTGTTTTCAGTCTGTGAAATATATACATAAAAAGAACGTTTGCAAGGGCATTGGCAACCTCTTTTAATTTACTAGTGGATCTTAGAGAATAACGTAATGCATGCCTCCGAACTGGCCACAACCACTGCCAAGACTAATTTCCCTTGGGGTATCAAAGGCGGTTGACGAAATCAAATTGGTTTCCTCATAATTGAACCTTCCTCTCTGCAAGGCTCGGCAATACATCTGATCAGTTTGAGCGACCCTGCTTTAAGAGCTTATAGATTTAAGCCAAGATAAAGAGACTTATAGGGTTATAAATCTAGGCTTACAGATCATCCATATTGTCCAGAGTGGAGTGAAGAAGCTTGGGGCGTTGATGTTTGTGTGTGTGTGTGTTTATGAGTGGGGGTTTATGTAGGGGAAGGTGTGGAAGCCAATAAAATGGACGCCTGTAATGATCCAGAAAAAATATGATCATCTCCTGTGGCTTTGATCCCTGTCAGACAAGCAGAGACAGCAGTGGGCCGCGGACAATTCAACAAAGTGTAATTGGCCATTATGAAACTAAGAAATACAGAGTGACAGACAGAAAAGCAAACACCACACACACACACACACACACATATACAAACAGAGTGATGTTATGTAATTGTTCCAACACTTTTTTTGAATGCCACTTCATGCTGAAGATGGATCCGTCAAGAGAGAAGAGACAGATTTGAATAAAAGCGGGGTAGAAGAGGTGCATAAAAGAAAAGAAAGCCTAATTCTCTTCATGTCCGTGTGTGAGAAAATGTACATTGCCATCATATGTGTTGATTGCACGGCAGGCGTTAGCACTAGTGTTCCTGTGTGTGTGTTTGGTGTGTAGGTGAACGGTTGTGTGGGTGTGAGATGGATAATTTCCAGTTTGAGTGAAAAACACATTCAGCTTGGTGGGGGCCATGCTAGCAACAGCGTCCCATTCCCCCCCTCAGCCGCCGCCTCCTTTGCTCTCGTATGCTGCAGTAATGTAACACACACACACACACACTCACAGAGTTGGTGAGATGCAGAAAGAGGTAAAAAGGTGAATGAAAGATGAAGGGAAGTCGGAGGTTTCTGCACAGCAACTCAAGTTCATATAGCGTGTGTCTGTAATTAAATATAGATGATTCAAGGAGATTACATTTTTGTGTGGGCGTGTTGTGGACTGACTGTTAACACGCTAACACACACACACTTCTGACAGTTTCTCAATCATCTTTACGCCTCGTGAACTTTTACTCGAAACGCATGTCATTATGTTCAGATAATTTGATATTTTTTGATGATAGATGATCATGTCATGATTTATTTTCACTTTGCACGCACACACACACACACACACACACAAAAAGGCTTTCTGACAGTCTCTCTATCATCTTTATGCCCAGGCAACTTTTAACATTTGGAAACTTTGTATTTATCATGTCAGTCAAAATGTTTTTTTTTAGTTTGTTGATGATTGACGATCACCTAATGTTGTAATGACATGCATGCACACATAAAAACACACGGAAGATTTCTTATGTTTCTAATTCATTTCACTTGAATTTGTCAAGGCTTCAGTTAATGTCTTTTGAAGTTTAACTGACCTGCAGAGACAAAATTATGAAATTTTATTACAGCTTTGATCTTAACATTATCCTTACCACGTAGTGAAAATAATGCGGTCACAACCTATGAAAATGAGATCCAAGTTGTAATAAAAACAGATTATCCTTTAAAACAAGAACATGTACTTATTAATATCATACTATTAATGATTCTGTAAGCACTTGGGAGTTGGTGTGGTCGACCCTGTGAATGTGCACGTGTGTAATGTTCACTACATTATATAATCAGCAAAGAGAAAATAACCAACTATGCAGCAGCTTACTGAAAACATGGCTCACATTTCACACCGCTTTCTCTCTTCTCTTCAGTCTCTAAGACACACACACACACAGGACAGGCGAGTGTGGTTGGGATGGAGAGGCCAAGTTCGCAATAGATAATAAGGAGAGACAGAGGTGAGGAGAGCAGAGAGGAATAGATAACAAAGAGATGGATACTGTGGGTCAACAGAGGTGCTGATGTAGAAAGCGAAGGACTCGATTAGCGGACAGAGACAAAACTCTTCAGGGGATGGCCACAGAAAATGATCAACAGATGGAGGATGAAATAAAATGTTTCCTCATTATAATTTGTGGATGATGCATCCAAACTATTATCTCCACATAATGATTTCCCAACATCATAACAATAATCGACTCCAAACAATTAAATGACAAGTGCTTCTGTGTGGTTTCACCGAGCTTGGAAGACACCACGCAGCTGGTAATCCCATTCAGTACTGTGTGGCTGGTATGCATTATTAATGGGGGTGAAAGAAATTAAAAGCCATGCAATGCTGAACCACTTAGCCAGGCCGCTCCACCATTGTTTGACTTTTTGAAAAAGCAAATTCCTCTCTGTGATTCCATGTGTACCCTGAAGGCAAGAAGACATGCCATTTGGAGTCCAAACACCTACATTAAAAGCAATATTTAAAACCGTTAACACTCACTGTGCACTCAGCTTGAGCTATTAACACATTAGATTAAAACTGCCTGCATTTAAACAGTATCTAAGCCATTCTGTGGCTAATTAAACTTCCACAATGAAAGAAATAAACCCCTGCAGAGCCAACAAACAGGCTTTCAACAACAGTCAAACAAAACTAATAGGGCTTAAATTAGAGATTAAAGCTAATGTGGCGTTTTAACATGCTTAAGTTAGCACGTTACACAAACAGGAATACAGCGCCTGCTACTGCACTCAATTCAGTACATGCAAGCTAACATGCTAAAAGCTACACAGTGTGCCCTACAAACAGTATTTTATGTATGTTAACTTGATAACATTATCATGCTAATAAGTTAAATGTTACAGCTAAATGTTAGCATGTTAACATGGAATACGTGAAGTTAGGTCTATAGGTCTAATTAACATGTGATATCCTGTTTGTTTAATCCATTGTTGTGCTATGCTAAGAAAACTGGCTGCTGACTGTAACTTTATTATTTTTGTAAAAATGTTGTGTTTTCTTCAATAAATAAATAAACATTTTGAAATCATACATTTTTTAAATTTCCTTATCTCAGCATGATCTTCTGTTATTTGCACATCCTATAATGATGTGATTAATTTTGACTTATTAATAATCTAACTATTATATTTAATATTCAATATTTGGTTTATTAATACTGAAACAGCCTAATACATTAAATGTGATGTAATGTTATGTTATGTGTGACGATAATGTTTTTTTTGTGTTTCTCCAGCATGTTCCACTGTACGTACTCATGGTGTCCCCAGCCCAGCTCGGGGAGGTAGGGCAGCTTCTTGATCCTGATGATGGAGTCGTAGAGGGAGGGCTGCAGGGACTGGGCCACGGCGTTGGCCAGGATCACTGCTATCATCACCGGCAGGATGTGGGAGATCTGGCCAGTCAGCTCGAACACGATGACTGCGGTGGAAACAGTGTGGGTGACCGCTCCCGACAAGGCCGCCGCACCTTTGGGTGGGGGAGAGGACAGCAGGGTGAGCGTAAGAACAGAGAAGTACTGTAGAGAAGCAATTGTTCATATGAGTGGTTTTCAAGGTGGGGTCTGGTGCTAAATAAATGGGGTCCCTGTGGTGGATTTCAGGGGCACCATAAATCAAAATTACAAATTTTTTAATATTATCATGATTTCAAAGGACAATAAATTGTAGTTTTACAACCAATAGAATATAAAAGATGTTGAATAATCAACAACTCAAGATCGTGACTACTACTGCTGATTTCTCAATTTCAAATCTCTCACTTCCCACCAGACCTGCTAAATTCTGAAAATAGAAATAGTCTCAGCAATGTAGGATAGTGCCAAGACTGGCAAAAGTCAAAACAAATTTGCTTGTCAAGTTAAAACAAAACTGCATGATGATATATTCCCTCTTCACAGTAATGGATACTAATTAAGTACATTTATTCAAGTCCTGTACTAAAGCATGCTTTTGTGCATTACTTTAGTGTTTAAATTGCATGCTACTTTCTCCATTACTACATTTATCTTACAGCTACTGTTGTTATTTTACAGATGAGTATTGTACACACTAAACCTGCAATGAGCTTATCAAGTGCAATGCATTGTTATCAGTCTAAAATAGTTCCTCCTCCTACAGCATTAAAATGAGTACTAATAATAATAATGTTATGACACTGCAAGGGGACATTCTTCACCATAACAAGTACTTATATTTTCAATACATCAAGTACATTATTTCAAAATGTAATAGAATAGAATGGAATAGTGTCTGTTGCTATCAACAAGAAAACAGGTGTGTGGTTCGTTTCTAAATGAGGTTAGTGCCCATGGACAAAAAGGAAGTAAAATAGTTATTTATTAAAAAGTGATTTCATTGGAAAAACTCCAAATAACTTAAGAACTACTGCCTCTTTACTACACAAATGTCTGATTTCATTTGTTATCGTATTCGTTACAGTGGTGAAGATGTGACTTCATGACTTTGTCTCTCAGATGCTGCTGTAAGATGTACCACATACATTAGGATGGTCACTAATAGGTTAATAAAAGCCTAATAGGTTACTAAAAGCCATACATAATATACACTGTACCTTACTGTACTAGATGTGTATAAAAACATGTAAAAATGAAAAAAATGAATATCCTAATCAACAGTTGTGGTTTCATCATTATTATTTCCACACGCACAGTATAGTTGGTCACGCAGTCACCAGTCAGTTCAATACTGAAACTTGCCTGGTCAGATCATATTCACAATATACTACAGCATTATTGATCCAATCCACAAAACTTTGCAAATTGATTTACCTGAAGACTGTAAGTCATCATCTTGTTATCAATTTCCTTGAAACTTTTCACATTCCTCTCCACACAATCTCCTCTCATAGGCCCATAAGGCAAAAGTCGACTCATTCAGGTAATTCAATACAGAAGGGAACCCTCAATATTACCAAATCATTTCTCCCAATAAAATGTTGTGTAAAGAGCAATATAAAAGCTGAATCAAAGCAGACAGAACAGCATGGGGCAAAGTGAGCCTCCGCTGCTCGACAGAGAAAATGGATGAATCCAATCCAAAAAATGAGATGAACACTGAAAAAAAAATTGCACAGAACAAAAGCATTAAAATAAAGTGAAAAGAGGGAGGAGAGCAGAGAGAAACAGATGGTGGGTGAGAGAGTCTACAAAGGCAGGTTTAATTGTTCTTTCTCGTAACTTAATTAAGCCTGTGTATGTCTGCCTATCCTCCTCAGATAAATGCTTCTGCTCCCTCTGCCCATCCTAACATTTAGTCCTTAAAGCGAGCTCCGCTGTGAGATGAAAGAGGCTCAGAGTGTCAGGCCTGTAAAAGGCTGAGTCATCAGCTACAGTGCACCACAACAACGCCAGCAGCCCAGAAAAAAAACTGCCACCACCAACCTGCAACAACGACATAATCAGCACAGCTGTCAACAAGTAGCACAGAGGAGGGAATCGCAACACTGCATCTCATTAGACATGCAACTTCAGTAGGGATGGTGTTTGCAAGACATTAAGTTTTGTTCTGCTATAGGCTAATCAAGATAGTTTTTCTTTTGTTTGAAGAATGTTTTACACATGTAAGCATACAGTATCTCACAAAAGTGAGTACAGCCCTCACATTTTTGGTAATATTCGATCTTATCTTTTCATGTGACAACACTGACGAAATGACAATTTACAATGCTACAATGTAAAGTAGTGAGTGTACAGCTTGTATAACAGTGTAAATTTGCTGTCCCCTCAAAATAACACATCACACAACCATTAATGTCTAAACCGCTGGCATCATTAGTGAGTACAGCCCTACGTGAAATATTTAAACTCCAAGTCTGTTTTCTTCTATTTTATTGTCTGTGTGTAACTACGGTGATTGTGTGTTCTGAGCGCTGTAGCTGCTGCTAACATGCTTAATATTGGCTGATATATCAGCTTATTGCAGAGATATCGGTACCAGCATAGATGTTGCAGAGAAGCAACAAGAAATAGCAGTACATAAAAGATATGATTAAGGTAATTTAGAAACAGTGTCTCCATTACATAGTATGTGCACCAGACAGCAAATGACACGTTTATTTTTCAACTGTATCCTCTATATTTAAATGTTTAGGTTCAATGTAACAAAGCACTATTGGCTCATACTGGTATCGGCCTTATAAATCCGTCGAGCTATAACTTTCTGATATTTGGATTTCAGTTTTTAGCTCATTGTCTGTGTTGCAGCATGGTGTTGCACTGATTGTTTTCCTGTCAGAAGGTGAAGCACAGCTGGGACTCAATGTTTGATAAGAATTTGCCTGAAACTAAAAAAAGACATAATGGGCCCTCTTTTAAGAACAAAACACAATGAGTGGAGAAATGGGATATACATTAAGGAATTAATATACTAAAACAGACAAGATGAAAGGGTAAATAAAATGCATTACTGTATTTCATACCAACTTTTTGGAGGTAAAGGAAAAAAATAGAACATACTTTTATGGCTCTGTGAGACTTGATTTGATCCCATGATGCAACAGTCATCAACAACTACTTTGGCACAATTTCTGTTTCTTAAAAGAAGTTGCATTTTCAGCTTTTAAACTTTTAAGCAGGATATGAGCACTTGACAGCAGCACTATGAGCTGTGAAAGTGTGTTGTTTTGTCAGCTACTTTAGCAGCCAATTTTTTTATTCTTTGTTAAGTCTTGTCCGGTGATCTTGTAAATGTAATTCGATTCTGTTGAGTGTTTGAGTCTGATCATATCCTGTGTCTCCTTTAAACTGAGTCTCAACTTGGAGCTATACATTGAATATTCATCTTGATTCATTTTCCATAAGTGGAAAAAAAGTAAAAAGTGGAACCACTGATGCCTCACAGACAAAAACAATGTGTGCACAGTTACCATCTTGAAAAGACGTACTGAATTACTTAAATGCAGATGAGTTGGTTATGAAAGACAAATATGTTTGTGCAGATAACAAAACTACCACAACCCCCAATATTAATGATTAAAATCAGACAAATAATTTGAATGAGTGAGAGCAAAAACTAGAAATGGCTTTTAAGAAAACAGCAAAAGAAAAACCCAAAAATACATTACAAAGAACATCAGAGGACTAATTCAAGAAAGTGAGAGAATAGTGAGTGATAGTTGAAGAATCACGGCACCATGATTGTGTCTTTAACTTACCCACGACAGCGTAGCCTCCCGGCACTATGGGGTAGATGGTGCCATCTGTGTGAATGCCATCTGGGAACCAGGCTGCCATGCTTTCTCCAACCAGCCGACCGAAGGCTGCCCCTGAAATATATACGAACACGTGCACAAAGAAACATAAACTACTATCAGTACTGGGCTTGATACTGGGGACAGTAATCAACACTAGTGTACTGATTTAGTACTCTAAAGTGGCAAATGGATTTCCAAAAAGAAAACAAACAAAAAAAAATGGGTGGTGATGACGCAGTGGACAAGACACATGCCTATTTTGTGAGAGATCCGGGTTCAATTCTCCACTGTGACCCATCCACCATTGTGTGTCCCTGAGCAAGATCCTTAACCCCTAGTTTCTCCAGAGTCATGCGACCTCTGACATGTATAGCAATTATAAGTCGCTTTGGATAAAAGTGTCATCTAGATGAATAAATGTAAATGTTAAAAACACAACCACTCAGCTCCCTTTCTTGTGATTCAGAAAGTATTAGTCCAATGTTTTAGCATTACTTTTGCTAAGGTGTGTGCGTATATTTCCACTCAGATAAAGTAAAAATGGCATGTTCTCACATCAACTAGCTTGATGTTTGAAGACAATAAATATTTGTAAGGAAAAACACTAGTGGTGATGTAATTTTGTTTTTCATTGGAGGAATGACTCGACATTTAGTGAAATGCGCTTTCTTGCAGAGAGTAAAATTGTCTAATATTACAGTTAATTTAAAAAAGCTAATTTTATTACTCCTCTAATGTGACAGGAATAGTTTGCCATTTTGGAGGGGAAAAAAGAGCAAATTTGCTTTGCACATTTGTCTGTTAAATATGAAGCTACAGTTGGTTAGCTTAGTATATTAAGAAAAAGCTAGCCTGGCCCTGTCTAAATGAAAGAAAAAAGAAGTCACAGTTGTTTTCACTCTTCAGTTTTTATATGGTAAACAAAGGTAATCTAACACATTAATTACAGAGCTTTTTAGTTTTTGGTATGCAGATTCTGTAACCATTAGACAGACCAAGGCTAGCCGTCTCCCCCCGCCCCCCCATTTCCAGTATTTGTACTATGCTAAGCTATTTGGCTGGCGAGTGTACTTTCACTGGTCTAACACACGCACGCAGGCACACACAGCCAGTTGCTTCTTACCAATGACAAATACTGGCATGAAGGCTCCGCAGGGCACTGGGATGGTGGTGGCCAGGGCAGACATCCAGAACTAAAACAGAAAAAAGTGGGAGGCAAAGAAGGAGAAGACATAAAAAGAAAGAACAGGGTGGCGTTCCAATTAGCTTCAGAATACCATCATGTGTGCCCCTAGATGATAGCCAAGTTGAATCCTATACCAGCAGTGAGGAGGCAGCCATGCGGAGCTTATTGCTGAGGTTAGATTGAGCTGTCACTTTCACTCTTCATTTGACAAAGACCCTGAAATGAACCCTGGGTAATGAGCGGGCTCTGCCCATTGGCCGACAGTGTGCCAGGCGAGCGGAAGAGACCACTAATTAGAAAAGACAAACAAAAAGGGAAATGTCACCACTGACACAATGTGCGAGTGTTTTCGCCAGGTGTGTGTGTGTGTACCTACATTTAAGCAGAGATAAGTCTTTAAAAGCTGGCATGCTTATTTTTGGAAAGAAAAAGCTGCAATGATACTTGAAAATGACAAAATTTTATTCAAGCTCAACACGGCCAGTGTCAGACTGATAAATTCTACAGTAAATATATGATTAATCACTATATCCTTGACATCGGAAGTGGACAACACAGAGCAATGGCGCTTCCCCATTGCTGGTACCAGTTCAACTAGCCTCGCTTCTTCTGTGGTTGGGTGTGAAAATCGAAGTGATAAAGTGACACATTGTGGTTTTAAGGGTGTTATGTACCGGACAGGACGAACAACTTCATGGTAGATTGAGCCGTTAATCTATAACTCAATCTCCTCCTCTTGTCGTCCCTGTGACCCAACCAGGCGAGACTCCAGGCTAGCTGTTTTCCTCTGCTCCCAGTCTTTACGCTAAGCTATGCTAACCAGCCCCTAGCTGTAGCACTTATACAAGAAAGAAGTTATAAATCAGAATTGCAAAATGTTGAACTATTCCTTTAACACACAGACATGCCTGCACAAGCAGAATGCACACACAAACCTGAAACATTCACACACACACACACACACACACACACACACATTTAAACTACAGAGTTTTTTCTGTTTCATATCAGCCATGTCCTCTAAACTTTATTTAGGCCAATATTATTCAGACACACACACGCACACTCACCATACTTTCACTTGGACCATGCCATTGTTTCAACAGATGGACACGGTTACAGCTGAGAATTTGTGACATTCATTGTTTGCATGCATAAAATAAGAAGTATGAATTTGAGTATTGTACAAGCCATTACACCAACTCCATCGCTGTAATAATCTCATGGTTTCAAATAGACTTTTTAATTACACTCATTGCTCCGTCTCCCTCCGTCCCTCCATGGCTCCCGTTCTCTGCCTCTCCTTTCCGCTCCCTCTGCTCCGTCTATAGTTAGCTGTAATTAAGGCTGGCTGCCATGGTGAAGTAATGGATCTCCTTCTGTAACCCTACACTGCCGCCGCTTTCTCACTCCGCACTGCACACATACGTGCGTAGGTGTTCACACGCACCCACGCACACACCATGACACAGACTCAGTGACGAGAATCAGAGCTGAACGCGGCCAGGCGCCAGTGAGTAACAGACACATGACCAGCTGAATACAAAAAATAGGCCTCATGAGAAAATTAGGCAGTCCTGGGAATAATTCTTTAGACTTGTCTTGGATTGTCTTCCTTTTCCATCTCTTCTGCTCTTATCATTTGTCTTGCACCCAGCCAGTAAAAACTTAATAAGAGCTGGAAAGCTTTAGAGGATCTGAGAACTCATAACATAGGCTTAACTTTATTACAGAGGCCATGAACTCTGAGGAGTGTCTGTGTGTCCCTGTGTGGCTGCGGGACACTCACACAATTTTAAAAACCACACTAAGCGGAGAACAATGCAATTTAATCCAGTTGTAAATTTACAGTTAGCAAAATCCACAGTACCTGAAACCAGCTGTCATCTGAGCTGTTTATTCAAGCCTCTACAGCACAGCAGATCATAACTGGGTGCAAAAATGGTCATAACAGGTCATACAAATATGTAGAAAAATAATTTTTAGATGGTTTTTATAAGGTTACTAAAACACTATTTGACTGCAATCATATAATTGCTCGTACAAATATAGTGAACGTATTCAAATAGGTTGCTAATATAGAACATAAAATATATTTTATGGAAATTGCACTCTAAAACGTATAATTGCTGATATATGTATGTTAAACGCATTCTATCGTAAAGAAAAAAACTTTTTTTTGTGAATGACATTTTGTAAATTTGTTCCTCACTCTCCAGCAGTCATTACTCATCATTTGAGGTTGTTTAAATGAATTAAATACAAAATACATAAAAGCAGCAAATATGGACAATTAACTAAGACATTTGTCACATTTGAAAGCCTCTATAATACAGTAGATCACAACAGTGTGTAAAGATGGTCATAACTGGTGAAAGATGTATAACTCAGGACAAAGACTAAATAAATACTAAATACTAAATCTAAAAATAGGTGACGAAATTAACAGTGGTTCTAAGTGGAATATTTAGCCATAACATAATGTGAATGAGCCAATAGATATTCACACACACACACATTTCCAACAGCGCCACTGCACAGCTGACACTGTATGTAGATGACAGTGTAATCTGTACCAGCTGCATGTTTACCCATAATAACACGGTCACGCTCACACACACTTGAACACAGGTGAGTGTGACAGGTTGCTGGCTGCAGCTTCTTCTCCATCCTCATAGGACTGGAGTCTTAACCATGGCAACCGCATAGGATCACGGTCTGCAAAGTTACAATTGCCCAAGGGTCCTCCTCCAGGTGGCTCCGGGTTGCCAAGGAGATGGACTAATAGCCACTTAAGACACGATCACCTCTGGCTGGAAGTTTGGGTCCATATGTATTTGTTCTGCTGCTCATGTGCTATGGAAATTAAAAATTCAAAGTAAAAGCATTATCAGTAAAATGTACTTAAAGTGTCAAAAGTATTCATTATTATTATCTATGCGTTTACATATAAGCAGCTGAACTTAAGAGTTCGACCATTTGTCCAAACATTACTGTCAAGAAACTGCATGAGTCTCACTTCATCTAAACCTGCCTAACAAAATCAGCATAATCTGATGTCTAACTGAATGGGTATGCCTTTATAACACTGTTTATAACACCCTCCTGGAGTTTACAGGGCCTTAGCTTAGCTTAGTCTGCAGCACATTTACCATAAAGGGGTAAAATCAGCAGGCTAACTTTCATGATTTCTTGAGCACTTTTCAAACTGACAGTGTGACAGTATAATGGAGAGTTGATCGTTTTTGACGAGAGACATTACCATTTCCGGACATATTTCTACATACCCTTTATTTGCCCTATTATTATTTATGTCCTCCTAGCTATTGCTACAGTATATCCAGTGCTTTGCAGCAGCAATGACTCACTATCCCCCCGGAGGAATCATTTATGTTACATTAGATTAGATGAAAGTGCACCTCTCTCTGAGGTAGTGCATGACCATGAACATTTATGAGGATCTCCGACCTCAAACTGAAGGGGGGATAAACCGTCGGAGGAAGCAGAAGCCTTAAGGTAAGAAAAGCAAGTAAAGAACTGATTGGGTTGTTGGTTTAAATCCCTGGAAGTGCCTAAAAAAGTGAAGAAATGAAAACCTCTTACATTAAAATCCAATTAAAAATGACTTAATGAACCACATGAATTTTGACTGTAGCTTTAATGAGACTGAGTGCTGCTTCAGGGGCCGAACTATTTTAGAAGAAACATTTATTAAATACTGTCAATATATGTGACTCAGATTTCATAAGCAGTTAAACATACCAGCAGCAGCTGTTTTATAATTCTAACTGGATTTAAACATTTCTTGGGCCTAAATTTTAGTTATGTCAAAATTGACAAAATCTAAGACGTTTTAAAGTGGTTCCTAGCAGTCACTAAAGGTTAAGTGTGTAAGATTTAGTGACATCTAGTGGTGAGGTTGCAAATTGCAACCATCCATCTAGACCCCCTTCAAAGAGTGTAGGATAGCTACGGTGGCCGACACAGGACAAAAGATGTCGCCTTCTGAGACAGCAGAGTGGCCAAAAAATGAGGTTTCTTCAGTTAGATTTATTAAGAAATGATATTAAATTATTTATATCAGTAAAACCATATGTTATTGCGACTTAGCCACTGACAGATAACATGAAAAAATGTAAGCCGAGAGTGTGAAACACTGTCACCGTTTCTGCACCACAGTCCATTATAAACCACATAATAGATGAAGTTTAAACAAACAATGACAAAGGAAACATTCATTCGCTCTGTAGCGCTGTTTGTCCATTTTGGGCTACTGTAGAAACATGGCAGCATGGCAACATGGTGATGTCCATGGAAGGGGGTTATGTAGACAGCAATGTCTCATTCTAAGGTAATAAAAACATAACAGTTCATTATGTAAGGTCTTTATACACCACTGAAAACATCATTGTGGATCTTATTTTGCATTTTTGTCAATAAGTCCCAAAAATATTACACACTGGACCTTTAAAGATCGATGATAATGTGTTATTGTGATTATAATATGGCTGTAATTTACTTTCTGTGAACTTTTGAACCCAATCAGCAGCGATGCTAAGTGTAATGAGTAGGTCAAAACCTCATATATAGAGGTACTTTACTCAACTGATTGTCATCATCTCAAAAGGTGCAAATATCTTTCTCAAAAATGCCATCAACTCCATCTTTATTTTTATGTTACGCTCCACTAACGGTCTCATTAAGAAAAATATAGGGCACAAACTTTTCTTACATTGCTCTCAACTTGACGAAGGCCACCTGTACATGAGTAGTTCTGTGTTTATGAGATTGTAATTGCAATTTCTGCAGGTTTCCCTTAGTCAAATTTAAGACTCTTTAAGATCTTTTTAAGACCACTAGGAATGAAATTTAAGACCTATATCACATCAAAAACAGAAACATACAAAGGAAATGCAGTCACAAAATGACTTGCAGAGAAAATAAATGTATTCAAATTAGGGTTGAGTGATGTCAAAATTGGCATTGGACGATGTCAAAAATGAAACA